ACCCTTGAAATGTACACTATCCATACTAAAAAAAATCCAACAATTAAATATAAGAAAATATAATGGCTAGATAAATAAAAATTTAATATATGCTTTAATATATGATCAAAATTTTTTTAAAAATTTGTTGTTTAGGCAGTCTCGTTTTCAAAAATTAACAAACATTTGAACAAATCTATTGTCCCTTGCATACATGTACAACTTTATTAATCGACAAGTTTATTCAGGTTCTTTGTTAGAAATCCCCCCTCAGTCTAAAAACTCCTGTTTAACATTTAAAAAAATATTGACATTAAACCAAATGTTTTAAAACGAAACCAAATCATAAAACACCCACCGATTTCCCAGTTGAACAAGTTCTGATTACGATTCAACTTTTGAATTCAGTATACTTTTCAGAATGGTTCATCACTTTATGTCCGGTTTATACATATATTTGCATAAACGATAGGTGTCCGGATTCGTGCTGAAACAGGAGGCGAAGGACACATTTCTCGGCAGTAAAACTCCTAGGCATTAAATAAACGTCTCAGTTTTATATCCATCCTTCATGCTTCCGTGAGATTTCAAACAGCTTGTCGTAACCAGTCTGACAGTGGATAAACAGAGGAAAAAAACGGACAGAGATGTCATCACTAATGAATCAAAATGACGGCGATTATTGAAAATATTCTCTGGTAAAGAACCCAAAGAAAATGTCAAATTATAACTTTTCTTAACATAAAAAACATAATTATTTTAAATTATGCATACAGCAGAAGGACAAATTGTTGTAAATAGCTTTATTGTACGATTATATAATTGAACTCGAGAAAATATTTCGGTTTTTTCCTTGCATTTTGCAATACTAAAATTTGATTTCCAAAACATTGTGTAACATTCGCAATACTTTTTGTCTACTTGCAACATTGCTATACGTTTCGTTTTATATCATGAGTTTTTATATTAATCAATGTAATACTAAATTTTAAAAAAATATTTTGTAATCGTAAATTCACTGTCTCTACTTATATCTATTTACATGGGGCATTCTCTCCCTCCTTCACTGTCACTTTCTCTCCTTCACTCTAAGACTCTAAGTATCTATTTATTAGTTATGTATTTCTTTTTATTTATTTATCAGTCTCTATTTTATGTTCTTCACTTTTCTGTACTATAAATAAATCGTATTCATCCGATCACGCTCACTGTTTCTCTTTCTCTTTTCCTCCCCTCCCTCACACTTTCTATCTATTTATCATTTATTTATATCTCTCTATTTCTATCTTATTCACTTTTCTTCTATTATAAATAAACCTTATTAATTTCTTTTATGTTTAGCGGTCTATTGACCATATTAATTATTTCAATTAATTATTCTTTTTATGCGGGATTCGAACCCATAGCCGAAGGTCTTGGGTTCGAATCCCGATCTTGACGCTAACTTTTCAACTCAACGAAAACCTAACAAAAAAAAAGAATAATTAATTGGAACTTATTCATTCCATCACGTTCACTCGCTCTCTCTCTCTCTCTCTCTCTCTCTCTCTCTCTCTCTCTCTCTCTCTTCTTTCATTGTATAATTTTTATGGGATCCCAGTTCGTGCGTTTTATTTATATATTAAATACAACTTTAAATTCACTAATTTCGTGGTCCGCTTGGCGTATCAAACCGAAGATCGTGGGTTCGAATCCCGCTCGTGCCATTGACTTTTTTCTCAACTAAAAACCTTAATTAATTAAATACAACGTTTGAATTAAGTATCACTTGAATTTGACTACAAAAAAGGATTTTCGTTTTGTAAATTTGGCTATAACCTTTTGACTAAGAAAACGGATTCTACAATTTATTTATGCTTTGTTCTAGGAAGAGAAGTTACATTTAAGCAAAATATACATTTACTTTAAAAATGCAGCTTGCATATCCTGTGAAAAATGAACGACACAGGTTCAAATAAACCTGAGGAAAATCATTCGGTTCATACACCAAATGGTTCGCACTTTTTTGATACCTTGATAAAAATACATATATGTACACAAACGTACAAATACATACACTTTCTCTCACTCAATCGTTTCGATCTGATTTTACTACAAAATACTAGCAAAAACATGTTTTCTTCACTTCTTTCACGGTATCACTATATTAGATTAAAATATTGACTATACATACAATTGCTCATTAACAATACAATTATACAATAAATTGTTAAATATTTTAATAATTTTTTAGGGGGCGTCGGTGGCCGCAACGATTTAGGCGTTGAAACGGCGCTCATCACTGGGAGGTAAAGGTCCCGTGTTCGAATCTAGCGGCCCAGCATTCGAACCCGACATACTTACAAATGTTTTTTTTTCAAAAACACCGGCACTCTGAAGATTGATATGACCTCTGCTGTTTCACCCTCGTAAAAAATAATAATAATAATTTTTTATTCTTGACACTTTTGTGATATCTTGACCAAAACACACACACTGCACTCTCTCTACCACTCATTCTCTCTCTTTCTATCATTTAGTCTTCCTTAATCTATCATATTAAGTGGTAGGAACATCGACAATTAGTTTAGTTGTATAAAATTTGTAAAGGGTGAAGGAGGAAAACCGAGTACTCCATCACCCTAATTGAATGCATGGTATGTGAATAGGAGTGAATGTATTTACGAATGAACGTAAGTCTGAATTAGTTTGGAACTGCATGTTGGGAACTGAATTGACCTGTTGAGACCATCCTCGGTGCCCGTTCGGAAGACTGAGGTCTGTCCCCGGACTGGGTGATTCTCAAGTCTGCGGGCAATTTACTGTAAGCGCAAACTGGAATTGCCGGTGGACAACGAAAAGCGAATATGTACAACTCACACGTTTGTACGATGGTACATGTGCGGAATCGAGCCTATATAAATCCAATCATTTGTAGGGTTACTGCAATTTGTAGTGTTTTTGTCATGATTTTTCAATATATTTCTTAAATAGTCGCAAGGGAAAAAACCATCCTGATGAGGGTATATGCACTTTTAGAGCAGATATTGAAGCCTCGACTTGTGGTGTAATTTCACCGTTAAAAACGCTCAACTATCTTATTCATCAATTAGAATCAGATATTGTTACTATTGATTATCGTGTCCGTGGTTGTATGCGCAATATTAATGGCATCAAATATATTCATCACGAAATTGACTCGATTCAAAATTACATGGCGGAAGAATTGCAGACTATGTACCATATGATAGATATTTTAGTGACCGTAGCAGTATTTAGTGATATGAATTTATACAATGATGTATACAACATAGAAATTTTAGGTTTAATCAACGTATTTGCACTCACTCAAAGTGTATTTTCTGTAATTATTCAGAAATCGTGAGATGCGGTCTGGTGTGATGTAGGTTTCAGAAAAACATTTTCTTTATCGTGCCAACGTTTCGATCTTTATTGAGATCATCTTCAGGGCTCAAAGTGTTTGTCTTCTGTGTAATTGTGTCATTCTTGCGTGTCGTGTTGAGAGTGTTAGTGAGATATTAATGTTTTTTTTTTGTTTATATACGTTTGATCTTGAAGAGTTGGGGAAGAAAGTAGGGATAGAAATTCATTTTTCTATGAAGTCAGATTTTTTGAGGTGAAAGGGATCTTCAATTGAAAAAAAGGGTAATGGTATTCGTTCGAGCGTAGTTAGCTTTTCAGGATAATTATAGACGGGATTATAAGGGAAAGGAAAGATAGATTCTTTGGGATTTACACTATGTAGAATTGTTTGATGTGTAGAGTTTAATGATGATGTTTGATATGTTGTATGTATGTTATTGAATGTGATTTATATTAGCGTAGCTGCGGCCGAGTTTACTGTCTGCTCTGTAATTTATGCTCTTTTTGTTTATCTTTGTTGATGTAAACCATTTCTAAAAAGTTACGTTTATGTATTAATTCCGTGTTTAATATTTTTGGAGTGTTGAAAATTGTTATTTATTTAGAAATCGTGAGATGTGGTCTGGTGTGATGTAGGTTTTAGAAAAACATTTTCTTTATCGTGCCAACGTTTCGATCTTTATTGAGCTCTGAAGATGATCTCAATAAAGATCGAAACGTTGGCACGATAAAGAAAATGTTTTTTTGAAACCTACATCACACCAGACCGCATCTCACGATTTCTAAATAAATATCGATTAACGGTCACTAACCACCACACACCCACACACATTGAAAATTGTGGTGGTGTTCAAAACGATGGGTAGCCAGTGCTGTAGGTTTTTGTTTGCGTTTTTTGCAATCGTAGATATGTTGCTTTACCCTCTTACCCAGATATTGGAATGTAATTTGCGGACAATTTATACAATTGAGTTTGTACATTACATCAGACATATTTGTTACTAGTGTGGGATCTTTGATATTGTGTGTACAGTTTTATAGTTTTTGAAGGCTATTTTCAAGTTATCAGAAAAAAGAAATGTGTTTAATTTGTGTGACAGGTTGTGAACGAATGGCATGGGTATGTATGTTGGATTGTCTGTATTTGATAGAATTGATGTAGTTTTGTTAGTAATAGTAAATGGTGTTAGTTGTTGAATATTCTGTTAATTATGTGTTTAGGGTAGTGATTGTTATGTAGGATATGTTTGTATATCTTATGTTCTTGTGGTGAAAATGTTTAAGGCTTAGGGTAATAATTCTGTGAAGTAGACCTTTGGCCATTTATTATTGTATGAAGTGGTGTGATGCAAAGTCGAGGTAGCGACTTGCATTTCTTGGTTTTTGATACAACCTGTGATTAATGTGCCATCTGGTAGTTTTATTACGAGTGTATCTAAAAATGGTATTTTCTGTTCTTTTCGATTTTATGTGTAAATTGTAGGTTTTTGCAATCATTCATGTGTTGTTTTACGATCTCTCTTATTTATGTGTATTGAACATTGTTTTCTGAAATTATTTAAAGAATAATAATGAAAAATGATTATTAATAATTGTGTGGATTTAAAAGTGTTCATAGGATTCAAATAATATCATTGTTTCAAGTAACAAACATTTTATTATACTATAATTATAGCCTCTATTAATCTTATCTGTACATTATTTAAAAATAATTTACACAATAATTATTTATTCCCAAGAAAAATATACAAAATATACACATGGAAGACACTGTGATAGTGTTGTTAAGGCACTTTTGTAAAGCTATCAGTCATTTGCAAACAAAATATAGTTTTTATACAAAAGAATTATATATGAGATCAATTCGTACATGAGGTGCTACACGATTGCAGACAGCCACAGGGTGGCACCAGGACGAAGTAAAAAAAATTATCACAATTAGCTCAGAATTTGAATCCACCGAACCTCCTGGGCAGCGGACGGGCGCGATTTGGCGTTTTTTCGAGGTCACCAGGGCCGCCAGGGTTTTTCGACGATCTGCGGTTTCCTCACGACGAGGGAGACCGGCTGGTTGGGAGTCGCCGGAGCGAGAGGTGGCGGAGAAGAAGGCAAAACGAGAGCGATGTGGCCGTTGGGCAACCTGGTGGGAACGAGTGCGACGACGTGGCTGCCCTGTTCGCTGGCCGATTCCGTCCTCGTGTCCATGCATTGGGAAAGGTGTTCCAGGAGTCTTTTCTTCACCCCTTGCTCCAGTCCTGGGAAACGGCCGACTTCCGTGAGACACTCTCCCCAGCCCGCCTTGAATTTGTTGACGACAGCAGGATCAGCGGCAGCGGCTAGGGCCACCTGATGACGCTGCATCGTCTCGACGTGTTTCACCGTCATTTCTAAAATATCGGCTTTCTCCAGTTTCGAGTGTCGGGCCGGCTGGAAAAAAGGAAAACAATTAATTACACGTCAGTCTTTCCACAACACAAATATTAATAAATAATGAACGAAGGATGAATCGACCGACCATCAGGATATCACAAGAAAGTTAGAGATCAGGGATGCGGTCATCAAAACAAGCAAGCTTTGCAATTTATGCCAAGTTTTCAACCTTTATTGAGGCCTTCATCAGGGCTTCGTCATAATATTAAAAGTAAAATATTATAATGATAACAGTAAAAACAACATGTATTATGTTGTTTTGGTGACCACATTCCTGATCTCTAACTTACTGGTGATTAATAAATAATTATTTATTAATAATTCACATGTACTGTATCTTGTATCTTTCATAATTAAGGTTGGCTTAAAAGTACAAAAGCTTGTAGGAAGTAAGCGCATGTAGGGAATTGATAGACAATTATAGATAAAATGAATGGTACGAGCATAATTCCTCTGTATCTTAGACTTAAGTGTCAATGAATTGTCTCTGTGCAAAAGAACTAATTAAATAAATGCGTGATGAGGAAGTGCAGAATGTTCAACAATACATTTTTCACCACTAGAAACACCACACATTAATAATGAGATATACAAAATTGGGAAAATTGCTTGTAACATTGAGATGGTGACGTATTTATCCTTATATTTTCTATCTATCAATAAACACGAATACATGTACAGAAACACACGCGCGAACCTTTTTTTGAGCATAATCTGCAGGGATAACAGTTCGAGTAATTTTATGATATATTAAATATAGTCATTTTATAAGTTCGCCTTGAACCTTTTGATTAACAAACCGGATTCTAAAATTTATTTATGCGTTGCTATCAGAAGAAAACGTTTTTTGACATATTCAATTAAAAATATACCATTTTATTTAAAAAACAAAAACTTTGCTGCGGAATCTTGTATATACTGTGATAAAATGTGCTGCATGAAATAAAATCCATGAAATGAAACCTATAATTGTTTATTAACTTATTTATTTTTTTATCTCAACTATAAACATTAATTAATTGTAATATATTAATTGGTCAATCGGACCACAAAATTAGTGAAATTAACAATAAGATTGCACAACGAATTGTTAAATATTCTATTTGTTTTTATTGCTTTACACTTTCGATATATTCAAAAACACATACTTTCTCTTTATTCTCTCTCTCTCTCTCTCTCTCTCTCTCTCTCTCTCTCTCTCTGTCTGTCTGTCTGTTTCTCTGTCTGTCTCTCTCTACCTATCTCTTTTTATCTGTCTGTTTCTCTGTCTGTCTCTCTCTCTCTACCTATCTCTTTTTGTCTGTCTGTTTCTCTCTGTCTGTCTGTCTCTCTCTTTCTCTGTCTGTCTGTCTCTTTCTTTCTTTCTGTCTGTCTCTCTCTCTCTACCTATCTCTTTTTGTCTGTCTGTTTCTCTCTCCCTCTCTCTGTCTGTCTGCCTGTCTCACTCTCTCTCTCTCTCTCTCTCTCTCTCTCTCTCTCTCTCTTTCTCGCTCTACCTATCTTTTTTTGTCTGTCTGCCTCTCTCTCCGTCTCGAGGCTGTTCGCGACCAAAATTTGGAAATTTGTTTGCATAAAACTATATTCAATAGGGTTCAATCAATTAAATGAATTTTTCTATTTTTTAAATTAATTTCTACGTTAAATTATAATTAACTATTATTAACCCTGTAATTGAAATATTTATTATTATATATTTGTTTATACGTATTCAGTTGAGAGCCATAAGTATATGTAAAGCCGTAGGAGTATCATTAAATAATAATAATAATAAATAAAATACACAAACACTATAATTTAAAGAGTTTGCCATTTTGATTTATTAATGATTTACCCTAAATTTGAATTGTTAACATGCTACATTTATTAGCGAATTTGATTTTTTTTAGTATAGAAATCTTAACTAATATTTCGGTTCGATCTTTTCTAATTAATGATCGATCCACGTTAAAATTTAATCTAGTGGAAAATGTATGTAACTTACGTCTTTCTTCATAGCGTCCAGAATAAGGGATTTGAGCTCATTTAGACAGTTGTTGATCCTCGCCCTTCTCCGTTTCTCCATTATGGGCTTATTGCTCTGAAAGAAGACAAAAGAGACATTTTATAACATTTTTCTTTTTCAACGTTTCAATTACCATAATCATCGTAATTAGAGGACAGGTGTTGCGCGAGGCAGGAGTGTGCCGAGGTCGGTCCCGTGGGAAAGGCGGCCGTGTTTCCTTACGGAAGTCGTACGTCGTTCTTCCACGAGGATTCCCGTTCAACGCTTCCTTTGAGAACCCATTTCGTGGGAGGTTCTCAGAGAAAGAGAACAATCGGATCCGGATGGTCCATCGGTGACGAAACGGGGGAAACGCGACCGGGAAGTTTTAAACGGGTGCCACGCGACCCTCGAACACACATTTTTACCGAAATTTAATTTTTTGGTATTTTAAATAATTCACTAGTTTCAAAAAGTTTTTTTTAAGTATTGGGTACAATTTTCGAACGGATAGGTACCTCGTATCCAGTTCAAATAGTAGAACGCTTCAATTCTTCAACTCGCAACTCACCTCAGCCGGTGGGTGAAAATCTAAAAACCGGTCAAAACACTTACTTTTCGTAGGTTTTTGGTATATTAGATGTTTCACTAGTTTAAAAAAGATTTTTTTCATATTGGGGACAATTAATACATCAATTCTCGAACCCTCAACTCACACAACCAGTAGTTGAAAATCTAAAAACCTGTTAAAATACTTACTTTTTCTAAATTTTTTGGTATTTTAGATGTTTCACTAGTTTCAAAGTTTTTTTACATATTGGGTAAGGACAATTAAAGCTTTTTTAAAATTTCTAAATTATTCAACTTGAAAACTCAATTTAAATAAAAATTAATCCTTAAACAGCGATACACAGGAACAACTACAAGTAAAATAAAAAGATTACGGGGATTGTAGTATTAGGTCGTATTGATAAATAATATGTAAAAATGACGGTTTCTCGTAAACACGCTTTCCGTACATGCATATAGATAATAAATATTGATACACATATATAAAATAAATTTTCAAAATCCATCTCATAAATTGAAAAAAAATCTAGGTAGTAAGGAGCTCTTGTTTTTTGAATTTTTTTTTTCAATACTAAACATTCTTATAATAAATTTATAAATTCGAATATAGTCCTGTACTTTAATAACCAACAGTTAAAATGACATTTAGAATTAATGTGTATTTTAAATAAATTTCTTTATGTAAAGTTTGCATTTATTTGTATTTTTTTATAATTTAAAAACGTTTATATCCAATGAAGGAATTTAATACGGGCTTTATCATTCTTTTGTTCATTTTTTTTTTCAATTGTAACAAAGGTAAATTCAGACGAAATAAAAAGTGAAAACAGCCAGCGGCCGTGTTCGCAGGATATCAATTTCGACAGTACGTGGGACGGGTATCGGCCGCTTTGATAATGCCATATCTTCCTTTTGTTCAGGATCAGGAAGCCCGTGACCTTTTGTTTACCAGTTCAAAAAACCGAATTTCCGCGACAGCGAATGTCGAAAACCCGGACCCAACAACAACATTTAACAAAAAAATCCCAAGGGCGTTTTGTTCCGTTTCTCAGTATTCCGCCTAAATTTGAAGATTCCTCACAACTACTGCAAAATTTAGTTTTAACGAATTTTCGTTATTTTCCTTCTATAGTTCGTTTACAGTATAATAGTATAAACAATTAACTAGAAAATAAATTAGTAACGTAATTAATATTTTAAGTTAATATATTGTTTTCGGGAGATATTTGGAAGAAAATGTAACTAACAAGCTTGAAATAATAGAACTAGAAATAATTCTACTGTTTAGAAGAAAACTCAAATCGCAAGGAATGAGTGTGAGGGTGTGGGTGAAATTAGATAGATAGATAAATAGGTAGATAGACAATTCGATCACTATTTGATTTCTTTTCATTAGCTTAAAATAATTCTTCTACTATTTAGTAGAAAAATCAAATCGCAACAGTGAGTGTGAGGGTGTGAGTGAGATAGATAGAGATAGAGAATTCGATCACTATTTGATTCCTTTTCATGAATAGGGAGCGTGCGTCAGGGGCATATGCACCTGTTGCTCTTTATCATGAAAGTAATGAACTAGGTTGAATGTTTTACTTTATGAGAATGAAATGCACTTTTTCGCAAGGTCAATGGATGCACATGTTTGATACGAATGTCCTTAGATAAGCCGACTTTTAAAAGTGTATTTGGAACAATTTTTATAGTACTTTTTATACTTTTTTGAAACAGAACCAATAATAGTATTTTATCACTCGGTTCCCATGGCCTGTACAAAATTGTTACCGATTTGCCCGTTAGTATTTATAAGGTGATTTTTAGTGAGGCTGGACTTTTAGATGAACATTATATTGTTAAGGTGGAATATGTTTTTACAGACGTGGAACAGCAAGGTCATCACACCCACGGTCGGCTGGTCGCGAAGTCAACATGGCCCCGTGAAATTTCCCAAGTAGTAAAAACACCAGACGTCCAATGTCGTCGAGATTGGCGGTGTTCCACAAGGGACTTAATAGTGTCAAGGCCAGGCCGCCAAAGAGGCCGACACGCGCCCGCTAAAGGCCCAGAGGGGTCTCGGAACCGAGGACGTCCGACCGTCCAACTGAGACTAACAATAAGGTCAGGCTAAAGTCGCACCACTTCCGCGAAAACCGCGAGAAAAAAAACACATTCCCATGGCTAAAACCCGTCGTGACTCAACACTTAACAGAGACGTGCATGTTTTAATTTATTGTTATGGTGTTTACATGCTAAAAAGGTCCGTCACTTGGCATCTGGATCCGCTTCCTGCACGACCCTAACTGGTCCATAAATATTTCCGAAGTGTGTTGCATTTCGGTTTTGGCCAATGAGGTGAAGGGTGAAAGGCAATCCGGATTTTAGAGCCCATATACGAATAAAGATGTCTCGAGGTTAATCCATCATGATGGCATCACGGCATATGATACGATCTGAAGTGTCATAGTTATTAACTATATCTTATAAGATAAAACACCACTGAAAATTTGACACGAAGCATTAAGTCCACTCGATTCAAGGAGACCTACATTTTCCAGGATGACTCAAAAGCTGGATGACAATTCCTTTATTAAACACCCGAAAGTAACAGTGCATTTACTATTCAAAACGATTTGCTGTGAAAACCCCAAAATAAGTAATTTTCATAGAATATATAATATAAAAAAGTACATCGTGATAAAAAGTTTGTGTATTGAGTATTTTATGCTACTTTTTAATCTTTTAAATCCTGTGAATGAGCTTATAATATTCGCTGATTCTGATGCAGTTAAATAGAAATATAACAATGAAATAATGTGTGGTGATTAGTGACCGTTAATCGATAATTATTCAGAAATCGTGAGATGCGGTCTGGCACTCTCAACCCGACACGCAAGAATGGCACAATTACACAGAAGAAACACTTTGAGCCCTGATGATGATCTCAATAAAGATCGAAACGTTGGCACGTTAAAGAAAATGTTTTTCTGAAACCTACATCACACCAGACCGCATCTTACGATTTCTGAATAATTATGATAGTAATGTTGTATAAGCAGACGAAATAAACGTTTACGTATATCATTAAAAATGTGAAAATATAGAAAATATTTGTACAAAAAAATTACGTCTAAAAAGTGAAAATGAAAAACAAATTACTGCTTTTTAACCCTGTTAATCGTACAGTTTTAGTAATTTAGTGCTAGTAATTTTTCCATTTATTATTTATTACGTAATCTCGTATAAATTCGATTTTTTTTAACAATGCATTAAGAAAGTCAGTTGATGATTATTATTTTATCGTTATACTTGCCTCATAAACCATTTCGAATAGGGGCTGTTAAAATGTTCACGCCGTAGTTATGTCTTTTGATCGATCATTTATGACAGACCCCAGTTTTAAAATGTGGGATTAAATAAAAAAAAGTGGAGATAGCCTTAATTGGTAAGATTTACGGATCTGCCTTTAATCAACTTTACGATTGGCTCTTTGCGGGAATTTTCGAAAATTCTGTCAGGTCCTTTTTTTTGGCCTTGTCCAATATAATTGTGTGCATATGCTTATGTGAAAAGTGAGTTTTAATAAATTTTCGCTATTTTTGTGTAGTTGTATTATTTAGCTTTACAACATTAGACCTCCTGTTAAATATTACATTTTTGTCTGTTCATTACTGGAAATGGCCTAAAAATGGGTTTTCCATAATCGAAATTCCATTTGTAACGCTTTATTAGAATTATGTTTAGCATATAATGACTTGAATTGTTTTCCTTCACATTCATCCGCGGTAAAAATTGAGCGAAATGTTTCTCAAAATTTCAAGGGCGGCGGAGGTCGCGGAACCGGGGATCAAACAACTTTACAATACTTTTTGCGCATATCAATTAACAAATCATAGGCTACTCCGGGATTCGAACCCAGAACCGTCGCGTGGCAAAAACGCGTCGTCAGCTTGCAAATTGAACCTAAAAAAACTGCTTTCTGGTTTATCAAGCGTTCTCTAGGCAAATTTGTGCTTTATGATTGATTACTAATATTCACTTATCCGTTCTATAAGTCGCTGTACGCCTATACAATATTTTGCCCTGTTCCTACTTAAAACTATTTTAAAAGATTACTTAGCATTATTTTATTTGGGTTTAATACAAATTTTTGTTAAAAAAACACGTGCAGATCTCTAACAACGTACGACGTAGTAAAAATGATATTGTATTGCCTGTCGTGTTCTTTTGATAGATGTTTAAAAAAAAGTTATATTATTTTATTAGTTGTGAAATATATCACCAGATGGTACGACACAAAAACTAATTTTTATTGGCCGTCGTGTACTCTCACAAGAACTACAATCAAAAAATTAATTAATTATTTTATCTATCTCCATTTGTACAGTAGAATGCAATTTCCCCAAGCCGTAGTGTTCACTAACAAGAATAGTGTTTAAGAAATAAAACAACTTTAAAAAAATCGTCAAAGAAATAAGTGTATGTGTACACAAGTTTTTTTTGGTCATAGTGTACTCATAACTGGGTTAAAATAATATGTGCATCATTTTATTTGTTTCTTTCTTGTATATCACCAGGCACACTATTAAATAAATTGTTCACTTAAGCCGTAGTGTTTTTCCACTAAAACTGGTTTATTATTTTTGATATTTAATTACAATTACAATGTTTGCCCTTACAAAAAATTGTATTCCTGTTATTTCCAATCTTTAGGAAATAAGCATTCAAGCATTTTATACTTTTTTACGGCCTATTAAGATCGAATGGGCAAAGAATGATGTCAATGCTTTATTTATAACCAAATTATAATATATTGCAAATAATTTTAGAAAATTGTAGTAGTAGGTTAAGAGTTTTAGTTTGTAGGTGTGTGATTTTAAGAAAACTTACTACTAAAGTACTTATAAACAAAGTTCTCGTTTTCTTTTCAAAATACGAACAAATTATTTAAAAAAATAGATATTTGATTATATAAATACTCACTCTTCTTGTTTCGGATCGCCTCTGAGGCTGGGGTGGTTCGCTGGTGGTGACCATGACGTTGATCGGTAGGTTTTCTTCAGATGGTATCTACCTTCCTCACTTCACAATCCTCGAGGGAAAACTGGCACTGGTTGGATGCTCGGCACACTCCAGGCTCTCTCCCTCTCGTGACAACCACTGCCGGTTGGTGGGGCTTGACGCTCCTGGTGGGGACGAGGCGCGTGGCAGGTCGTGCTTTTGGTGAGTTGGTGGGGACGAGCGCGCCACGGCGGCCCACACCGCTCCCGGGCACACTCCCGGCCCTCTCCTCGACGTCCTTCCTCTCTTGTGTCTCGATGGACCGACTGCTTGAAAAAGACGAGTCTTTTTAGTATAAAACGCACTCGTTCTCTGGAAGTTAGTTGTGTTTGTTGGTCTGCGAGTGAATGACAATAAACACTAGAATTAATTAAGGTTTTTAGTCGAGATAAAAAAGTCAATGGCACGAGCGGGATTCGAACCCACGATCTTCGGCTTGATACGCCGCTGCTCGACCACTTGAGCTATCGTGACCTCGGACACCAACTTCCCATCTCAACCGCACCTTTTGAATTTTCCCTCCTTTTTGCCATTTTTCAAATGTTGTGTAATCAATTTGATTCTCGGCGACAAATGAAATGTCCACGGAGAGCTTTAGTGAAGGAATTAAATTAAATTAATTGTATGATATTAATTGGTCAAGCGGACCACGAAACTAGTGAATTTAATAAACACTAGGTTATTTTCGGCTTAATGCCATCTTCAGTGAGTAACCAACAAGAATTTCCGGACCCAGTCAAGTGATCAGTACAACGTAACCTTCTTTGTAATCAAAGTTAAAAAAGTATGTCCACATTTTCAATTACATATCCAATCCATGCCTTTCCTGTCACTACATCGATGATGACTATTAGTATACAAACAAATACAATTATTGCAGTTGGATTTAATTGTGTAGGGGGACTGATTTTTACAGTATATAACTTAGGGATTCACCAGATTCCTTACCTTGAAAAGTTCATGTAATTTACATCAACAGGAGTTACGTCAACACTGCACTTGCAGATTAAAGACTAGTACACGCTCGTAGACAAAATTGCGCAACTCGTGTCTATAGACAAAGCTCTGCGTTTGACTATAAACAAATTGGGAAAAAACCGCTTGTTCTGCAACTACCTGTAGACAAAACATGCAAAGTCTACGGTCTCCCAGCTGGGATGGAAAACTTGAGACATGTTGTGCAACATTTTGTAGCGTTGTGTGGTGTCTAGTGGCCGTTAATTAATGATTATTTGGAGATGGTGAGATGCGGTCTGGTGTGACGTAGGTTTAGAAAAACATTTTCTTTATCGGGCCAAGGTTTCGATGTTCGTCAATTAGTTAAGGTTTTTAGTCGAGATAAAAAAGGCAGTGTCACGAGCGGGATTCGAACACACGACCTTCGGCTAGATACGCCGCTACGCTACCACTTGAGCTATCGTGACTTCGATACACTCGGACACTAACTTCCCATCTCCACCTTTTTTAATTTTCCCTCCTTTTTTCCATTTTTCAAATGTCACGTAATCTATTTGATTCTTGGCGACAAATGAAATGGCCACGGAGAGCTGTAGTGAAGATATACTTTATTTAACTCATTAAATTCACTAGTTTTCGAGGTCCGCTTGATTAATTAATATTTTTCAATTAATTAAAATTAAAAATTTACAAATGGCAAAAAGGAGGGACAATTCAAAAGGTGAGATTGAGATGGGAAGTTAGTGTCCGAGTGGATCGAAGTCACGATAGCTCAAGTGGTAGAACAGCGGCGTATCTAGCCGAAGGTCGTGGGTTCGAATCCCGCTCATGACACTGACTTTTTTATCTCGTAATGTCTATGTATGAAAATCGTTATTAATTGAAAAATATTAATTGGTCAAGCGGACCACGAAAACTAGTTAGTTTCGATCTTTATTGAGTTCATCTTCAGGGCCTGGAATTTATAAACATTGTTTAAATCATACAAATTTGAGGGGCGTCGTTGGCCGCGACGGTTTAGGCGTTGTCACGGCGCTCATCACTGTAAGGTCGCGGGTTCGAATCCAGCGGCCCTGCATTTGAAACCGACATACTTAAAATGGGCTTTTATTCAAAAACATCGGCACCCGAGGGTCCATATAAACTCACGACACAAAATAATGACACATCTACGCAGAAAACAAACACTATGATTAAGTCTAAAATTTCTAGCATTGTATAAATTCATTTTTTCACATCCTATAATTTAAACAATGTTTATAAATCTTCACACGAACCCGAGCCATCCTCAATGTCCAGTTCAAATTATATCCACAAATTGAAAAATTATCTTTTCTTGAGAACTAATCGATGAATTTTAAAAATTCTGGTATTTTTAGAAAGGAAAGCTCATTTAAAAGAGCTTTATAGTAGTATTTTATTGGCAACTAAAATGACTGTAAGAACTAAACGTTTTTCACAAGAGTTTGTAATGGTATTATGTTAAATATTTTTTTGCTGTTTGAGAGAGCTTATGCACTTTCAAATAGAAAATGTTTTAAATGTTAAAATGTTTCCCTCAAGCGCCAAAGAAATTTTGATGAGGACACCTATCAGCTCGAACACTACTGCGGTATATCCAATTGCCAAAAAACGTCGTCCGTCAGACCAAAATAAGTCATTGGTTCATTGGGATTGAATTTCAGGGGAGAGAATGTGCATAAGTTATTCAAAGGATTTTTGCAGAACTACTAAACTTAGGACGAGTTCGGACTAGAATGATAGTAGGACTGCTGTATGGATACTCCGGAGGTATACGTAATACTGAATAAATTGGGTGGACCTGCTGTTGTACAGTCGTTAAAATGGTATTAATTCTTTATCGTGTTTCTCTTTTAATTTTGAACTATTTGGATCAAGATTTAAAGGGAATGAAAATATCATCTTCCAAAGGATTTTCTTTTTTCTCCATCTCCCAGCCCTTAACCGATATGGTACTGCCATATCTTGTGCCAATAATTTTAGTAGTTTTTAACAGTATAGAACGGTTTTTAGTTGATTTTTTCTGAAATTCCTGGACAATTTATTAGCGGATATGTTCTTCCAAATTCTTAGGTTGTGTTCTTGAACATTAATTATCTGCAATTTGTCAAAGGCCTAATGTTACTTTTTAACTGTGTATTTTTATCTAGAACATCTATGGTTTCGATTTGTATCTTTTGAATAAGTTTTTTGAATGTTTATTTGATAAATAATATCGTATATTAAAAAAAGATATCCCATAATGATAAATAATAGTAATATTTTTTGATTTATAACCACGACTCAGATAAGAAAATAGACACGTATAATTTGCAAAATTGATAAAAATTGTGATGAAATATTTGGTTGTCTCAAAAGGTCTAAAGCAGCAGTCAATACAAAATTAGTTATGCTACCGTCTGTCATAACAATAAACTAACAGTATCAAATACTATAAAAGAATTTTATTTATTTATGTCCTTTTTTGGATTGTGTGTTTTGTCTTGGGAAGGGAGGCTTGATGGACTAACTAATCAACCATTTCGTTATTTTGTTAGGTTATTAGTTCATCAAGCTTCCTTCCATATTTGTTTAGAAACGACAGATTGTTATATTTGTGGCCTTTTTTTTACGAGGGTTCGCAACAGCAGAGGTCATATAAACCCTCAGGGAGCAGGCATTTTTGAAAAAAAGCCCATTTGTAAGTATGTCGGGTTCGAATACAGGGCCGCTGGATTGGAACCCGGGACCTTTACCTTACAGTGATGAGCACCGTGTCAAAGACTAAACCTTGCGGCCATCGACGCCCCTGTGGCCTTTTTAGTTTCCATATGTTTATACTATTCAATTAATTTTTTCTCCGTTAACATCGATCTTATTGTATTTATAAATTGCATTTATAATACCACGTTTCCATTTGAATTTCTTGATAGTTTTTGAACAGCTAGGTCCATTCTTTTCATTTTAACAACTAAAGATAGGAGACCTGTTTTATCTATTTGTTTCACGTTAGATAGCTTTAAATAAAGGAGAATGGGACGAGAATTTGAAATAAGGTTTCAAATTAAAAGTTGTCTAAATCTTTCATCCAGCTCATCACGTTCGGCTTCAATTCATTAAATAAATCTTATCTCTTTTGACGCAGGAAGGATAAGACCCGTACAAGAAATCTTTTTTGTGAGAATACAAAAGCTATGATGAAACATTTCGCCATTATCATGGCCACAATTGATTTTTAAGGGAAATAGTGAATTATGGCTGAGTCAACTGTTTGAAGATGAAAGCTACTGGACAAGCGCGCCACCCAACTTCGTGTATGCTAAGCCCACAAAGTTCTCCTGTATTGCGAGTTTAAGTTTGACACGTTCCCCTTTCTTCCTTTCCCTTTCCTTCCTTATTATTTAATAATTAATTAAGGTTTTTACTTGAGATAAATACTTATTATGTATGAGTATTATTTAATACATTTTTATTTACAACGAATCAATACATTTAATTATATAATATAAAAATACACGCAGATTGATTGTTATCTTCTAGATGTCCATTAAAAAATGTAATACATTGATGGTTTATTTTGTTTAGGGGTGGACTTCTGGGTTTTTTGGAGGGTTCAAGATTTAGGCCTTTGATTGGGTTTGTGAGGCAGGCTTGGAACTACAGATACGAGCTGACAAAAGAATTTAATTTTTGATTTTATTACCGAAGTAATATATATTTTCTCTGTTTTTTTTTTTTTAATCCATACAGAATTATCATTGTTTTAACACGGCGACGGTAGACGGATTTTCCAATTTCTATTTACTGTTGTTTTTCTTCTCATTGTTGTATCGTAAATAAGTAAACACTTGCACTATTTTGGTTTCGAATCCAAATTTTAAAAAAAGTTTCATAAATTCATTTAAAATTAGCTTAAGGTTTTTGTTAATTTTTCACCTACCAATTCGTCAGCCACGGTTTTTTTCCTTTCCTCTATCAATTTCTTCATCTTTCAAAACAGTAATTAAAGAAGAAATTTCACAACTAAAATGGACCACGTTTTCTGAAATTTGGTTGTCTCTAGGTTTGGAAATTATTAATTTTAATTTTTTGTATAAAAAATTATTTTTCACAGCTCTGGCTACTAAAATGCTCATTT